CACAGCCCCCAGGAAGAATCAGCCCTACCAACACCTTGACTTTAGCCCAGTGAAACTGATTTCAGACTTCTGGCCCCGATAACTGTAAGAGAATAAATCTGTGTTCTTTCCAGCCGCCAAATTTGTGGTAATTTGTTACAGCAGCCACAGGAAACTAGTACACACTGCAAGAGCCATCTTTTTCAAGATGGACTTGAAACTTCCAGCTTAGCATCAGAGTATTGTTAACAAACAAAAAACAAGCAAACAAACACACGCAAAAAACTTGTAATACCAAACTGTACGGGAGATAACTTTCAAAAAGCATTTCCTTGAGTTTCTTGGAGTTGCACAATAGTATGTCCTGAAGGTTTTCTCCAAAGTCAGGTCAGTGTTGGTATGTTGGATCTGGTCCCACCAAATTTGTAAATTTGTTACAAGATGGACAGCTTTATAATTTTTTTAACACTCATGACATTAGTTATCTGAGCAAAAACACAGACTAGCTCCACAATATTTAGATGATGATATGAAGTGGCTTTGGAGCAGCATGTCAGAAGTGCTAGTGGTCTGAAGTACATGTCAGGGATGTAGAATTTCATTCTGGGATCATCGTTTATCTGTTTATACAACCTGAGGCCCAAGTGCAGCCAAGATTTGAACCTGGCTTTAGAGTTTGGACTCACATAATGGGTAAATTACAGGTTACGAAATGAAAGACTTATCTCCAACATTTACTGCTATGTGACCTTGGCCAAATCAACTGACCTCAAAGGCTTATCTGTTAAAGGGAAAAATAGTACTTAGCTCAAAGAGTTGTGAGGATGAGGTAAAATAATGCATGTCAAGAATCGGGCTCGGGGCCGGCCTGGTGGGAGGTGGTTAAGTGCGTGTGCTCCGCTTCGGTGGCCTGGGGCTCTCGGGTTCGGATCCCGGGTGCGGACTTATACACCGCTTATCAAAGCCATGCTGTGGCGGTGTCCCATATAAAGTAGAGGAAGATGGGCATGGATGTTAGCCCAGGGCCAATCTTCCTCAACAAAAAAGAGGAGGATTGGCAACAGATGTTAGCTCAGGGCTAATCTTCCTCAAAAAAAAAAAAAAAAGGAATTTGGCTCAGTGCTGACTTGACGCAAGTGCTCAATAAATCTTAGCTGCCACTGCTGGTGTTGTTACTCAGAGAAACCATCTCCTCCTCCTGCCCAGGAGTGGTGCTTCAGGGAGGAGTGCCCTCTGGAGCTGTGTGTGGCCGGCTCTCAATCTGGCCCTGCAGTTGGGGGACCACTCCCACCTGTCTCACGTGTTATTGAGAAACTGTTACCGAGAAATGTGAGAAAAATTTGTCCCAGCCTATCAGTGCAAGGACTTCCAGATCAGGCCTGCCAAGCATCGTCCCCGATGACGGCAGGGTTTCCACTCTGTGTGCAGCACCCTTCCATGCAGATCCCCTCTGCCTCACTGGAGGGACCAGAAATAAAATAGTCCTGAATCTAGAAGGCAAGTCCTACTTGGTCTCCAATTCACTTATCTTGACCTGAGAAGAATTTAACTCTAGGACACGCCAGGCACTCTCTGAATGGGCTTCTTGTCCTCGTTCATAGAATCACAAAACTGTAAAAGCACGAAGGGCGAGTCTTACAAGCTCTTGACAACCTAGCTCCTCATTTTTCAGTTGAGGAGACGGAGGCCCTGAGAATAAGTGACTTGCCACAGCTCACACCAGAAGTTGGCATCAGAGCCAGGATTGAACTTCTAATTCCAGTTTCTCATTTGATTTCCCTTTTTTTTGACCCTTCGACGCTGTCTACCCCCATCTTCTATTGCTGATTCAGGTATAACTTCATTACCCTGCCAGGGACTTCAGGCCCGGCGTGGGCCAGGGGATGGTGCTTCCCACAGACCGCAGCTCAGGTGTGCGGTCTGGAGACGCCCAGCTCTGTCCCATCCTCTGGGCCTGGCGGGTTTGTTTCCCAAAAAACCCGAGCCGCTCAGGGAAGGAAGTCACTGTTCACCTCTCCACCTTCCTGTCATTTTAGACCACCAGCCAGGGCTGGGAAGGCCTTCCTGCCGAATCGCTCTCACCTACGCTTCAAAGTAGTTGGTCTGTTACTGTAGGGTAAGCATTAAGAATCTTTGTAATCTTCCTTCACAATTAGGCCTCTGAGCAGTAATGTTCTCAGACACACGAACTGATTCTTTCTCCAGTGAGAAGAATGCAAAACAGCAGAGTCTTCCTTCCCACCCTCCTTCCCGCTGCCAACATCATCATCACGTCTCAGTAATCATTGTTTCTGTCCACCTAGGGCCTGAGTGTCTGGGTAAGGAGGTGGCTGAGGAGGGCAAAGAAAAGAGAGGTGAGGGTGTTCTTAGGACACGTTTCTCATTTCCCCTCTGAGCGTGTGTGCCCAGGCTCAGCCTCCCGCTCGGCAAGCTGGCACGAGACATAGATGGCCAGAATGGGAGAAGACCCCTCCTGCGAGCCGGCGTTTCTCCCCTTAAACTTACCCACCGCTCTCTTCTGTTGCTGCCAGTAAATCTCAAGGAGCCATTTCCTCCTGCCTCAGTGACATTCTACAAACACCTTTTTCTGAGAAAACTTTGAGTTAATTAAATGTGGAAAGTTTGTGTTGTGTTGTGTTGCAGGGCATTTCATGATATACAGTGTCTAAGATAGAGAAACCTTTGAAATCATTCATCTGGACAGTTGCAGGAAGGAGGTCACAACTGCCCTGACAGCCAATCCTATTTTCCTAGGGAGGTGCTTACTAGTAGGAGTTTCACTGTATTCATAATTACTCCTTTCACCTTTATACAATGGTCTTTTGAACAATAATTGCACAACCTTCTTGGGTTTCTTATTCCTGGCTTGACAGCCAAATCTACAGAACTTGAAATTATTGATGCTTTCTAATTTTTAATCATTTTGTGGTTTGTGTAATCTGAGGTTTGAGGAAGTCTGGCCATAATAATACTTTACATTCCACTATTGAAAATGCCATCTTGAGGTCACATGTGACTCCCTAGTCTCCGAATTTGAAGGTATCTTCCCAGGCTCTGTGAGTCGACAGTTGAAAATGACAAAGACCCAAAGTAAACCAGCTTCAGCAAACAGTGGAAAATCTAGGAGAGGGGGCTCTAGGCATGGCTGTTTTCAGGAGTTCCACCAGTGTGGTTAGAACCCAGTCTCTCTCCATCTCTCCTTCCTGTTCTCTGCGGCAGCTCTGCTCACAGAAGGACTGTTTCCCTGTGTTGTCTAGACGGCTTCCAGAGCCTCTCGTTTACACCCTCCCGGATTCAAGGCAAGCAGGAAAACACAAGCTCCCATCTGCTAGACCTAACAAGGGTCTCGGGCTCTGCTCTCATTGAGCACAATTAGTCGGCTTGGGACAGGTGCCCATCCCTGAGCCCACCAGCGTGGCTGTGAGGATTTCCTGCCGTGACTGGCAGAGCCTCAGTGAGCAGGTCAGTCCCAGAGCCAGGGGTCCCATCAGTTCCACCAAGGCAAGTGTTCTGAGAACACAGGCGGAGGATTTCCCGCCAAAGAAACTCCAGTGACTGTTACCAGAATAAGCAGGAGAACAGGTGCTGGAACAGCAGGTGCCCCCCGTACTCTCCAACCTTTCTACAGCATTCAGTCTTGGTGCCCTTCTTGAAATCCCGCATCCCTCCTTCCCTCACACAGTGCTCCCGGGCGTCCCTTCTCTGACTGCTCCTCCTCTGTCTCCTCTTCCTCCTCCTCCCCTGTGAGGAAAGGGGGGTCCACGGTTGTCTAGCCCTACCCCCCCCAGCTTAACCGCACAGAGTTCAGACTCACTTGCCACCACCTCCTCTGTGCCTTACCCACCCTGTTCCCTTGACCTGTAACGTCATCTCGCCTCCCACCTGTCATCCCTACGTGTTCACGTCCTCTATATCCTGTGAAATATCTCTTTGTCAATCTTCCATATCTAATTTTCTCCACGGCAGAAATAAACTTTCCCTTTCCTCTAAACTCTTATTATCCTCTCTCAAAGAGGATTTTCTGTTTTATATATTCTGTTATATATTGAAATATGTACGTGTGTCACCATTGGCTCTTAGCTCCTTGAGGGCAAGAATATTATCTTTATCACTTAACTCCTCTATCCAGTTCCCTTCCATGGCCAGTCCTTATAAAGCTAGTATTTGTCAAATAAATTTGTATGGTGCTTCCCATTTTATTAAAGTGCATTCACATCCATCAGCATATTTGCTTCTCAAAGCAAATCTGGAAGGGAAGAACAAGTATTACCTCAGCTTTATACATCAGAAAACTGAAGAACCAAGAGGATCAAAGATTTAACCTGAAGACCCTAAGCGAGTTCTTTGAAAAAGCTGGGAGCAAAAACTTAGATCCTTAGAGTTACATTACCTGCTATTTTCCAAGAAAAACTTGCTGGTGTGTATTCTATCATTAAAACCTGGAGGATAGTTGATACCAAATTGTTTTACTTTCAAATAGATTAAATATTTCACTCTGAACTTGCACACTGCGTCTGCCAATTACTGGGATTGTATCATGATCTGCTCCTCGTATAGTTAAAGAATATTTAAAGGAAATCCAGACCAACTGGTTCATTCTGGCGTAAGTGTTTTCACTGTTGCTGCTGGTGGTGGTGGTTGGGCAACCCCAGCTTCTCTCTCTCTCTCTCTCACGCCTTCTCTCTCTCTCCCCCTCCCTCCCTTTCTCTCTGTCTTTTGCGACAGACACACTTCTCATCAAGGGAAGGGAGGAAGTGGATTTCTTTCCCCCAAGCGCCTTTTCTTATAACGGAAAACAAACGTCTCACTTGCAAAACTCCAAGAGCTTCCCCCTTCCAACGACTCAGAGCCCTGGGTGTGCCGTGGATTCCGAGCACCAGAGCATTCGCGGTCTGAACCTGTCCTGCCCCAGGCTGTCGGGCCGGGCCAGCCCTCCAGGGGGCGGAGCCGGCATTCCCAGGCCGGTTCACACACCCGGCGGGAACACTTGAGCTCGGGCTCGCCCGCCGTTTGCCGCCGCAGCCGGAGTCTGGGGCTGTCCTCGGGGACCGTGCGGCCGCGGGCCCTCGCCATGGCGGCGCCGTCGCGGCTCCTGATCCGCGGGGGCCGCGTGGTCAACGCCGACTGGTCGCAGGAGGCGGACGTGCTGGTGGAGGACGGCGTGGTGCGCGCGCTCGGGCGCGACCTGCTGCCGCCGGCGGGCGCCCCCGCCGGGCTGCGGGTCCTCGACGCCGCCGGCAAGCTCGTCCTGCCCGGCGGCATCGACACGCACACGCACATGCAGTTCCCCTTCATGGGCTTACGATCCGTCGACGACTTCCACACGGGCACCAAGGTAGCCACCCCCGCCCTCCGCTCCGGGGGGCCCCGCGGGGCCCTCGGCCACCTCCCCGGAGCCGAAGCCCCGCCACCTCGCGCCTGCAGCGAGCCGCGGCGACGGACGGGCGTGGGGCTGGGATTAGCGTTCCCCGCGCTGAGCTCCCTTCGTCTAGGGACTCATCTCCGTGGCATCAGCCCGGCTCTCACTAAGCCGCAGGCCCCTACTTCTCCCTTGAGTAATTTGGCAAGCTTAAGGCAACCTATTCCATTGCCCTTATGTCTCTACACCCAGACCCCCCATTTTCACTGGTGTTCTTGGACTTGGAAGCCCACACGTCTTCCATACCATCTGCAGAATCTCTTTGTTAAGTCGGCACTCCCAGCCTTTCTCCCCATCCTCCATCCCCAGCCAAAACCAAATGAGAAGCCCATTCACCTAGTGGATACCGCCTTAACTCAAAGTGAGCAGTGTGTGGTGGGTGATGAGAAGTGGGCTTCCAGCCCACCATGTCCACAACCTTTGCCTCCACCCTCCATGAGAAAAAATATTCCAGAAATGGCCTCCCAGCATTCACACTCCACCAAGGCGACCTGGTCCCGTGGGGACATCAAATGCAGATCTTGATTCTTCCTGAAGCTTCGCTGGTGGTGTAGGAGGATCAGATCACTGGTCCCCAGGTGAGGGAGGCTTGGATTTCTCTAGCTACAAAGGCCTAGAGGCTCAGGTCATTGAAAAGAAGCTTAAACGTTTCTCCAAAGCTCCTGAAAACAAGATCAGAAGATGAACAGGGTAGCTTTACGGAAACATAGAGTTAAAACTCCCCTCTCAGCACTTGGGCTACAGCCAAACCCACACACCCTCTTCGAGGCTTGCATTTGGGGTTGTGGTGAGAGAAATGGCTCCTTGCAAAGTGAAAGAACTGACATCTTCAAGGCTAAGCTCCTCACTGAGGGACGTGCGCGACGCTTTCCCTGACGACCGGCCTTGATGTGTGAGGAACAAATCGGGCTGTTTAGTCCGGGTATAGACCGTGCAGGCTTTCAAAGCAGTTTTGACGATCTATCCTTTACTCTACGGGTTTCTAACATTTTTTTAAACCGATTTTTACTCTCCCTTCACCTCCCCCCTCCACGTTGCCCAATCCTTTATGATTGACCAGAATGTTCAACAGAAAAAAAGAACCGTTTGACCCAGAGAGAAGGGTCTGGGGCAGGCTTCTCACATCAACATTTGGAAAGCTTCGTCTAGTTACTAATTATCAACCTTTATCATCAGGGCAATGGTCAAAGTGTTTTGTAGGACAGATCATTACTTGTTTTGCAAAAAGGTGAAATTTGCTCAATTTGATGAACTTATTTTTACATTTTAAACAAAATTTTCAGATAGCAAAGTGATATATGATTATAGAAAATTGGAAAAAATAGGAAAGTAGAAAGAAGAAAAATATTATCCATAATCTCCTACTCAATGACAACCAATGTTTTGGTGTATTGCCTTTATGCTTTTTAATCTGCTTTATTTTACATAATTGAGGTGTATCGTGCATGTGTGATGAGTGCGTGTGCATACATGTATATAAAATCTTGTAGCCTGCTGTTTTCAGTTAGAATACACACACTTATCACAGACTCGTCGTTAACAAAGTTAGTGGCAGGGCTTTCCACTGACACCCCCCTTTTCTAGTTGGGGAGCCGCTGTTGCTGACCGTCAGTTGCCAGCCCACTAGCATCATTTCCCCTTCTTTCATCAGGGTTCTAGAAGAATCAGTCAAGAGGGGTTGGAATGCTGTTGGGGAGGGACATTCCCTCCCTTTCTGGAGATTGTCTGTGCGTGCCCCAAGGCCCTGGGAGGTGGCTCTTGGTTTTCTATCTGTTTCTTGGCCATTCTGAGATTCTTAGCATGGAGAGGTTTACAGTTCTATATTGCGAAGTCTTTGTAGCAACAGTCTGTTGTCCACAGCAGAAAGAACGTATCGGCCAGCTGATTCTCAAGGCGTTTCTGTACTTAAAGGTTGTCAAACGCTAAACAAAAATATGTTCTTCGTGAGCCTAGGATCTTAAGCAGGAAACAATATGGTCAGAGATATTAAGGTCAAAGATTTAGCAAATACTAAATTCATGATGAATATTAAACAGTATTCACAAGGGGGCAAAGTCACAAAAGTCTACTTCAAAATTGGCAGCTTGGATCCCAGGAAATAACCGCTCCCACTCCCAGAAACAGATGAGGCTCCATAAGGGGAAGCAGATGGGTAAATATAGATAAAATATAGATAAACGTGAGCATTAAAGTATTGGCCTGAGTTCTGAAAGGAGGGCATTATGGAGTTATTTTGTCCTCTTTTCTAGAGTCTTCACGATAACTCCCAAGGCAGTGTTGGTGGAGTTTCTGGTTTGGGGAAATAAGGACAAAGAAGTCTTTTGTAAATGCTGGTTGTGTTATATATTAAACCTGAAAAACATCTTATTAATACTGTTAAGTAACATTTATTTTATCAAGCACTTGCCATGTACCAGGCCCTGTGCTAAGCTGTGCGTTGTCTTCCAACAACCCCAGGTGCCATTATCCACTCTTTGCAGTTGAGGAAACCGAAACTTAAGTCACTTGCCTGAGGTCACACACCTAGTAAGTGACCAAGTGGCTCTTCAAATTCAGTTCTGCCTGCTGTCGCTTGAGCTCTTACCTTTCTGAAATGACTATTGAAAAAACATCTAATGTTTAGTTTTGTCAGGGTGGGAAGTGATGGATGAAAAAGCTGTGTAAGTTGCATGCTAATGCAAGATGGCTTTTCTCAAAAATAGAGTCATCTTTAAGAAATACCTTCCCAACACTGGAGGCAGTGAAGGTCATCAGCATAAATATACATTATAGGGATGAGGTTTGTGAGGCCTTTGTTTGTGCATTTATAGCCGCATCATCTCTAAGGGTCCAGAAATGGGTACCTTAAGTACTGAAAGCCATAAAGTAAAATGATTTATTATGCTCTCAGGAGACGGGCCCCAAAAGATTAGACCAAGAGCTGTTTGCTTTCTGCATCCACCAGGCTGAGCATTTATAATACCTGACAGATAGAAGGCAGACTCTTTGTGGTATTCTATGTACTGTATTGATCACTAGATTGTGATGGAGTCCAATTTTAAAAATGAAATATAGGTCAACCAATGGTTACGTGTTTTGTAAACCTAATTCATGTCAGAGGTTGATTTAAAGCCTATAATTGATTTACTTAATTATAGGTAAAAGCTTTCTATCTGATGTAACTAATGGAAATAATGTTCTGCTTTAAGGAAATCATATTTCACTTTGTTGGTCTATACTAGAGGTAGAGTGGTCTTCCAATAATTCAGTATCTGTGAGGAAAGACAATGGGATTTTTTTATTCAAATGGATATTGTGAATTAGATAAACTTGAAGGCATTATGACTTTGCTTTTACTATATCCTGTGATAAGAGAATGAATCACAAGAGCTCGGCCAGTTTTCAAATATATATATTTATATTCAGACATATATGCAGCTTGGAGTGGGTGGACTCACATTAAAAGCCTGGCAGCATCTGTAGCTAGCAGAAGGATCTTTTTTTTTAAATTGGGAAAACAGGCAGAACACTTTTCTTAGTAAAGGACAAAAAGCCCTCCAACTTATCAAGAAAGGAAATTATACTTTGCTCTGGAACTTTTTGGGAAGATGCCATCAAGGTGATTACTTATTATACAGCAGTGGAAGGTGTGTGATTAAGCCCACATTTATGGTTGTATTTATAGAGTGTCCTCACCTCGTGGAAGACTGTGCTTCACAAAACTTGGTTGCAAACCAAATCCCTCTTTCTGGTGCTGACCAGAGTCCCTGGCTGGGCTTTAGATGCTGTGTGCGCTGACTGTGTGACCTTGGGCGAGTCATTTCCTCTCTCCGGGTTGTCAGCATTTCCTTATCGGTGAAACAAGGTGATGGTTAGCATAATTTCAGGTAAAAAACATTTTTAAAAATAGTGAAAGCTGTATATATTCGTCATCCAGGAAAAGGCTGGAGCATTTATAGTTGCTCAATGTATGTTAGTTGAATGAAGAAACTGCTTTTTTAAAAAAAGGAAAATACAGAAGAGTATAAAAAAATAATATTTAAATTACCTATAGTTTTAGCATTTTGCTTCCCATCCTTTCAAGTTTTTCTTTTGGGGGTTAAATGGGGGGCGTATAAACGTTTGTTCCCTCTACTAACAAGTTGTGCATCCTCTTTGGAGTCAGCCTTGTTCATTAAACATTTCCCCACGACCTTAACTATCATTGGAGAAAGCGATTGCCACCGCCCCATTATCCTCTTCAAGGCGGAGTTCCAGATCTTTTTCTCTGGTTCTGGTATCTCTTAGGCATCAGGCTGCCATTTCTGCCTGTCTGGTGACATCATAAGCTGGATGTCCCAGAAGCACCTCAAACTCAGAATGATCCAAACCAAATTTGTCCTTCCCTCCCATTGCACAACCCATTTCCCCCCGTTTCTCAGACCGTTAACAGCTCCACCCTCGTCCTCTCTGTGTTGGAGGTTTTGGTGATTTCCAGTTTCATTTTTTGTTTTTGGTGTGTGTATAACAATGTTGTGATGTAAATCATCATTCAGATTCTTGACGATTGACTTGGAAGTGACACCTCAGAGTGAAGTGCCTGGGCCGACGAGGATTAGATACATTGTACAGGAGTTGAATACATACATCCAGGCTGCTCTTCACTTTACGCTTCCACCAGCGATACATTATAATTCCCATTTCGGGGCCGGCCCGGGGGCGCAAGCGGTTAAGTGCGTGCGCTTTGCTGCGGCAGCCTAGGGTTCGCCGGTTCGGATCCCGGTTCCCGGGAGCACACTGACGCACTGCTTGGCAAGCCATGCTGTGGCGGCGTCCCATATAAAGTGGAGGAAGATGGGCACGGATGTTAGCCCAGGGCTGATCTTCCTCACAAAAAAATAAATAATTCCCATTTCACTGCATCCTAGCTAATTATGGATATTGACTTAAAAAAAACT